ACTACCTTTGCTGCATCTCAAAGGCTTTGGACTGTTGTATTTTCATCATCATTTGCTTTTGTGTGCTTTTTTATTTCTTCTTTAATTTCCTGATTAACCCATTCATTCTTTATTAGGATGTTCTTTAGCCTTCATGTTATTGTGGTCTTTCCAAATTTTTTCTTGTGGTTGGCTTCAAGTTTCACAGCATTTGCTCTAAAGATATTCATGCCATGATCTCAAGCTTTTTGTAATTGTTGAGGTATGATTTGTGACCAAGTACAAGGTCTATTCTGGAGAACGTTCTGTGTGCACTTGAAAGAATGTGTATTCTGCTGCTTTAGCATGACATTTTCTGAATATATCTGGTAAATCCATCTGGCCCAGTGTTTCATTCAAAGCTATTGTTTCCTTGTTGATTTTCGGTTTAGGAGATCTGTCTATTGCTATAAGTGGGGTGTTAAATTCCCCTACCATTATTGTATTATCATCCATGAGTTTCTTTATGTTTATTATTAATTGATTAAAATATTTGGGTGTTCCCAAATGAGGGGGCATAAATAGTTACAATTGTTCTCTATTCTTGATTGGTAGATTCCTTAATTGTGATATAATGCCTTTCTTTATCTCTTGTTACAGTCTTTGGTTTAAAATCTACTGTGTCTGATGTAAGGATGGCTACTTTACCTTTCTTTTGATGTCCATTAGCATGATAAATGGTACTTAATCCCCTCACTTTTAATCTGCCAGTGTCTTTAGGTCTAAAATGAGTCTTTTGTAGGCAGCAAATAGATGAATCTTGTCTTTTGGGTTCCTTTTTTTTTTTGTCTGTTTTTTGTTTTTTTTTCTTTTAATGTAGTCTGATACCCTAAGTCTTTAGATTGGAACATTTAGTCCATTTACATTACATTTAGAATGATAATTGAAAGATTTGAATTTTATGTCACTGTAGGGTTGGTGTTTCGGTGATATTCTCTGGTCCTTTCTGGTCTTGTTGAAAAATAGCATAATTGTTTATGGAGAAAAATGGGCAATATCTAGCAAAATACTGTCACACAAATAACCCACAATCTCCTTTTCTCGAATCTTTCATTTGACCACCTCAGTAATCACCCTTCTGATGTGTAAGTTTCTGGGAGTTCATAGGCTCTGGAGATTCTGACATAGACATCTTGGGGGGCCACTTCCTGTCCAACACACAGGATCATAATACAAGTAGATAAACAATAGTAAATATGAAAGGATTGAAGTCATACAGAATATCTTAATTACAGCAGAATTAAGCAAAAAATAAATAAATAAAATCAATGAGTAAATGAAATGGGAAATCCTCATAATGATCAGCATACTTTTACATGTCCTTGGGTCAAAGAAGAAATTTCAAGAGAAATTAGAAAATTGGGAACTAAATATAAAGAAAACAACTTCATTTCAAAATTTTGGGACACAGTTAAAGCATTGTTTATATCTTTGAAAGCTTATATTAATAAAGTGTGCAGTGTGAAGTCAGTGATCTGAACTTCCCATATAAGAAGCTAAAAAAAAATAAAATAAAAAGTTAAAGCAAGCAAATTCATAAAGATGTGAACAAACAAAAGAAAAAATATAGATTGACACAATTCAAAACTGATTCTTTGAAAAGTTCAAAAAAGTGATAAACTAAGTAGGTGAATTTAAAAAAAAAGAAAGAAAGAAAGACCCGGGGAGGTGGGGAGAGAAGAGCCACAAATGACCATTATCAGGAATAAAATAAGAAACATCACAACTGATCTGACAATTTAAAAGGATAATAAGGAAATATGATGAACAACTTTATTTCATTCAACTTGGGAATGTAAATGAATTACACAAACTCCTTGATGGCGTAAATTATAAAACTGACTCACAGAAAAACAAACAAGTGAATAGTTCTATATTTACTAAAGAAATTGAATTCATTACTTAAAAGCTCTCCCAGAAGAAAACTCCAGGCCCAGGTGGCTTCCTAGGAGAATTCTATCAAATATTTAATAAAGGAATAATACCAAACACACATAAATTCTCTTGAAAAATACAGAAGGATCCAATAATTTCCAAGCCACTTTATGAGTCTGATATTAGCTTGTTATCATCTTCAGACAAAGACATTACAAGAAAACAAACTTAAAGACGAATATTCCTCAAAATACCAGATCCAAAATCCTTAACCAGATTAGAAAACTTAATCAAGTAATATAAGAAACAGATGATATGTAATGATCAAGTACAGTACTACTTCAGGATCATAAGGTTTGTTTAACATTCTAGACTCAATATAATTCTCCCATATAAAGAGAATACAGGAGAAAACATATGATCTTCTCAATAGATGTAGTAAAAACAAAATTTTGTAAAATTCATCATCCACTAATTCTAAAAGCTCTCAGCCAAATGTAAATATGAGGGTAAGAGAAGGAAACATTCAGCTAACACCGTACTTAGTAGTGAAAGGCTAAATAATCTCCTAAAACTGGGAATAAGGCAATAGTGTCTGTCACACTTATTTTATTCTGCATTATGTTAGAAGTCCTAGCCTGTGCAGTAAAGCAAGGAAAATAAATACACACACACACACACACACACACACACACACACACAGCACACACACAGAAAAGAAAGATATAATACTGCTTTTACTTTGTATTATCATGATATACATGGAAATTCTTAAGGATGCTACTGAAAAAAAAAAGCTACTCTAACTCTAACTTTTGAGTGAATATAATGGCATCAAATGATAACCCATACCAGTATACCAAAACCAATTAGGTTTCTAGATATTAGCAATGAAAATACCATAGCATTAAAAATCTATATAATGTTTAGAGATAATTTTAAGAACATGTACAATGGCTGTACAATGAAAATTGAAAGATTGCTAAATGAAGTTAAAAAGGACACAATATAATTGGGGAAACATACAACGTTCATGAATGGGAGACTAAATATTGTTAAGGTATTGATTCTCTCCAAATTTATTTATAAATTTAACACAACTACAAATAAAATCTCAATAGATACTTTAAAAGAAATTGTGAAACTTATTCTACAGTTTACATGGGAATATAACATATATAGAATATAAAATTTTGAAAAAGGAGAATGCTTTTGAAGGGTTTACACACCTTGAATTCCAACAGTAAACAATGTAGTACAATATCGGTATCAATATAGATATTTGGATCAATGTTATGGAATTGGGAGTTGAGAAATAGATGTATAATTGTATGGTAAATTAGTTTCCAGAAAATTATCAAAATGAATTGATGAGGGAAAATTTGTCTTTTCAATAAATAGTGTTGGGATATTGGATATCAATATGAGAAAAGGGGGCCTTTAGCATTTTCCTGACACTATACACAAAATTTGCTTCAAAATGGATTATGGACCTCAACATGAGACTTTAAAAGTGGAAAACTTCTAGAAAAAAAATATGAGAAAATATTTGCAACCTTGGGTAAAGCCAAAGTGGTATAGATAGGACACAAAATAAAGGAGTCACAAAAGAAAAATAAATTGTAATTCAATTTTCCCAAAATTAAAAACTCGTGCTTGTCAGAAAATTCCATTAGGAAAATTAAATGGCAAGTCACAGATGTTGAGAAAATATTTGCAAAATGTACACGTTACAAACTACTTGGATTCAGAATATACCAAAAAGTCTTACAACTCAATAAGAAGATGACAACTAAGTAAAAAATGTGCAGATACTTTGCAAATGAATGAGTCCAGGAAAAGATGTTCAACATCATTGGTCACTAAGGAGATGCAAATTAAAAACACAGTGAGATACTACTGCACATCCATTCTGACCTCTGGTTCTGACATATTACTAATGTCCATATTAATAGGTCCCTAGCCGTCAGTACTGCCTCTTGTTCTTTTTTTCTTGTGGTGAGTTTTTCCACCTTGTCATTTATCCAGATAAGAATAGATGAATGAGAGAACAAGTTGCTAAAAGGGTAGCAACAATCCCAGAAAAATATACACTAACCAAATCAGAAGAGACCCAAAACCAGGAGGAGAAGAGAGGGGGAAAACCAAAGAAAAAAAATTTTATATATGACTGGTGAATAGAAGAGAGCCACACACTTGATTTTGGGTATATTTTGGTCTGTTAGTAGAAACTACCTCTCAAAATTTTAAAGAAAGGAAAACTTATACATTTACAAAAATAAGGGTAAACACGATGGAGGGATGGAATATGACTGTAAAGATGAAAATTAAAAAAGATTCTAAAAAAGGAATTGATAAGGTAAGAAGTTGGTTTAAAAAAGAAAAAAAACAAAGAGGAAAAAATGTGATCAGGCTGGAGACCAGAACAAAGCCATGCACTAGATTTAGGGTATATTTTGATCCATTAGAAGAAATTGTATCCCAAAATTTTAAAGAAAAAAAACCTATAGGTATACAAAAAATAAGGTTAAATACAATGAAGGGATAAAATATGACTATAACAGTGAAAATTAAAAACGATTTTTAAGGGGTGCCTGAGTGGCTCAGTGGGTTAAGCCTCTGTTCAGCTCAGGTCGTGATCTCAGGGTCCTGGGATTGAGCCCTGCATCGGGCTCTCTGCTCAACAGGGAGCCTGCTTCCCCCCACCCCCACCTTCTGCCTGCTGCTCTGACTGCTTGTGATCTCTCTCTCTCTCTCTCTCTCTGTCAAATAAATAAATAAAATCTTTTTTTTTTAAAGATTTTTAAAAAGGTATTGATAAGATAAAATAGTTTAAAAATGTTAAAATAGGAAAGAGGGAAAATCTTAAAAAGTAGAATAAGAAAAAAATAAAGTTTAAAAAATTTAACTTTGAAAGACTAAAGGATCATGGGGGAAAAGCCATGAATTCTATGTGTTGCTTTCCCCTAGCTCTGTAGTTCCACAGTTCTCATTGATCAGTGAACTTGGTCTTGGCTGGATGTTCTTGCTGTTCTTCTGGGGGAGGGGCCTGTTGCAGTGATTCTCAAACATCTTCGCCTGAGGCAGAATTGCACCACCCTTGCCAGGGGCCGGGCAACCCCGCCATCTGCACCCACAGGAGGTCCGGGGTCTGGCCTGCGGGCAAGAGCCCCAGCGGTGGAGGAGGAGGAAGAGGCCTCACCACTGCAGGAATTACCGAGCCCAGCAGCACGCGCCACTCCCAGCCCAGATGCTGAGACCCAGCGGCTGCTCTCTGTCCAAGGAGCCTGCCTGTTGGGCCTGTTGGCCATCACCAATGCGCTAACCAATGGTGTGTTGCCTGTGGTGCAGAGCTTTTCCTGCTTGCCCTATGGCCATCTGGCCTACCACCTGGCCGTGGTGCTAGGCAGCGCTGCCAACCCCCTCACCTGCTTTCTGGCCATGGGTGTGCTCTGCAGGTCTCTGGCAGGGCTGGGTGGTCTCTCTGTGCTGGGCATGCTCTTTGGGGCCTACCTGATGGCACTGGCAGTTCTGAGCCCTTGCCCACCCCTGGTGGGTACCTCTGCAGGAGTGGTCCTTGTGGTGCTGTCATGGGTGCTGTGCTTGGGTGTGTTCTCCTACGTGAAGGTGGCTGCCAGCTCCCTGTTGCACAGTGGCGGCCGGCCAGCATTGCTGGCAGCTGGCGTGGCCATCCAGGTGGGCTCCCTGCTTGGGGCTGTTGCCATGTTCCCTCCCACCAGCATCTATCATGTGTTCCGAAGCGGGAAGGACTGTGTGGACCAGTGTAGCTCCTAAGCCTGGGCAGATGGAGGACGTGATGTCAGACTGAGATGCCACAGCACCCTAGTGCCCACATCCCCAGGGGGCCCTCCTGACACGTGGGCTCACTCATGGACACCTGTACACTCCACAGCAGATGCTGGTCAGAGTGGGGACCACAGAACAGTCCCAGAGCCAGGGCCCAGCTAGGGCTGTGGGCTTGGCCCCGGATCTGGAACCTGTGTGGGATTTGCACAATAAATCACTGTTACTCCAAAAAAAAAAAAGCTTTCTGTACAGCTTTGGAGGGGAATGAAAATGGAGGCCTCTCAATCTCCAACTGTGTAGAAGCTGAGAGCTCAGGGTCCCACTCCTCAGGGCACCCTCAGAGAAAAGCTGTCCCTTTTCTCCAGTCAATACCTGGTCTCCAGCTGCACTCTGAGCTCACCCAGCCTGTGACAGCCCCGTTTGGAGTTTCTGAACCCAGCAGATTCCTGCAGCACACTCCAACACCAGATCTGTCACTTGTGGGGTCCCTGCTCGAAGAGCAGTGACCCGACTGTGCTTTGGATCATGGTTCAAGGTAACCCTGAGCTAAGAGCACCACCCACCCCCCTCCAGCTCCCCTCCTTGGCTCCATCTCTGTAGCTGGCTTCCCTTCTCTGATACCTGGGAGCTCTGCCACTGTCAGGCACCCAGTCTTTCTGTGACCCCACAGGTCCTGAGACTACACTTTCTCAGGACATTGCTCCTGAGAGCTCCACCCCTCATTTATCTTCTGGAGTGACATCCCTCAGTGGAGCAGATTTTTAAAAGTTCCAATTTTGTGCTGCACTGCTCTCTCATTTGTCAGGAGCCAGCCCCTCTCCCCCATGGTCTATCTTCCTGTTACTTTGGATTCACTTCTCCACATGTCCTACCTTCCAGAAAGTGGTCGATTTTCTGTTCCTAGCATTGCTGCTCTTCTCTTCCATCTCCTGCTGAGTTTGTAGGTGTTTAGAATGGTTTGATAATGATCTAGCTGAACCCCTGGGACATGATATTTCTGTCTCCTACTCCTCCACCATCTTGCTCCTCCCAAAAGTATGATTTAATATGCTTTTTTTCCCCAACATTTTCTTGACTATTTGTTTCTGTATCTCAAGACTCAAATTTTATAGCTTCACAAAAACCAGTATTTTTATTGGGATCCCATATTTTTCCATGTCATTTTTTATATTAACTCAAACAATATTGACTCTTTAGGAATTGAATCACCTAGTCCAAGAACAGAGGGTGACTTTTTGTCTATTCAAGTTTATTTTTGTATCTTGCAATAGTGTTTTATAATTTTCTATGTATACATCATATATATTATTTTATTTCTGTTTTCTCAGACTTCTTTGTTGTGGCATATTTTCTTCTATTATTTTTTCTAACTAATAATTTTTAAATATATGATATATTAATTTTACATGCTAATTTTATATAACATGGTATATCATGGAATTATATCACTATTTATAACCATATTTTCATTGATCCTCTTCAAGCAAACTAGCACAATACAATTTTTACATATTTGCAATATATGTATTTTATTTTATACATACATTTTATATATATTTATATTACATATTTATATATCAAGATACATTTTTATCTTTTCTTTTATAATTATTATACTCCTAATTTTTTTGTAGTCACATTGAATAGTATTTCTAACACAAGAGTGTAGAATAATGCAAATGATAGGCATCATTCTCTTACTGCTGCCTCAGTGAGAATTTATCAAGTATTTCCCTATACATAAATGTTACATTTTGGTTTGAGGAATGGAAACAGAGACACACACAGACAGACACATGCACATATACACAACATAATCATCTTGGGATAATTCACTTTAGGATGAATTCATTAAATCTTCTTTCAGAATTTTTTAAGTTAGAAATTGATGTTGAATTCTGAAATAACTCTTAAGCATCTAGGCAGGAGCATGATAGTGTTTCCTTAAATATATTAATGTGCTGACTGACAATTATGGCTTTTTAAAATGTTGAAGCATTTTTGCATTGTCGTAGTATACCCCACTTGGTCAGGATACATTTTTTTTTAAGATTTTATTTATTTATTTGACAGAGATTACAAGTAGGCAGAGAGGAAGGCAGAGAGAGAGGAGGAAGCAGGCTCCCTGCTGAGCAGAGAGCCCGATGTAGGGCTCGATCCCAGGACTCTGAGATCATGACCTGAGCTGAAGGCAAAGGCTTTAACCCACTGAGCTACCCAGGAGCCCCTGGGATACATTATTTTTTTAATGTACCATTTTGTTTTGTTTACCAATATTTTATTTTAGATTTTTGCATTGATATACATAAATAAAATCATCTTTAATTTTCATTGTTGGAGTTTCCAGGTTTATAGTTTCAATTGTTCTCACCCCATAATAATACTCTGAGTATTTTCCTTTTCTTCAGTATTTTCTGTGATGATGTTATTGGCATGCCTACCTGATTGGTATGTTTTTTGGGGATAATATGTACAGAGAAATTATAATTTGTTAATGGCCATTATATAATGGAAACCTGGAATATTTATCTTAATATACAACATTGTGCATGCTTACTGAAGAAATCTTACAAAGTACAAATGAGAAAAAAGAAAAATACACTAAAGCAACAATGTTAATAAAAGCAACAATCTATTGCTACTTTGAATAATCTCTTCACTAGATAATTTTAAAAATGTAATAGTACCAAAATCAGAAGAAAAAAAGTATTTTATATACCTCTTCTTTCACTAGAATGTTGGCCTGAGAACTTAGCTTTTATTACTACATCTTTATTTCCTTTATATTAAAAATATTTTAAAGTATTGATATACATGGTTGTTCTATTAAGCTAATGATTCCATAATGTTGGAAGACTAAAATATAGCCCTTTTAAAAAATAGGAAATTCTCAATTTAATCTTACCAGATGGGATAATAACTTAATATTAGTTATATGAACAACCAAAACTCGACTAAACTGAAGGCTACCATTTTGAGGGCAGAATAAAAAAATTTTTGAGTACTTATTTTAGCCTGTCACTTTAAAAAGTTATTTGTAAAAATAATAATAATAATAAATATGGAGTTATTTGTACACTCACTGAACTTAATACCCTAGGTAATAATGTTTCAGTTTCCTCTTTATGATTAAATCTGACTGCCAAATTCAAGTAGTTTTATGTGGATACTTGATATATATATTTTTTAAAATAGCAAAAAATATAAAAGAAAAGATTTGTTTTTTGTTTGTTTCCTGTTTAGTTTTCCTCTATTTCTCCTTTTTTTTACCTTTTCTGGTTTATTAGAACACTTTTTAAGGATTTCCTCTTATTTTTACTTACACTATTTTTAGTTTTAATAGTGGTTGTCCTACATGTAACAATATGCATATGTGAGTTATTGCAGTCTGATGACATCAATATTTTACCCCTTTGAATATAATTTAAAAATTTTACTTCCATTTAGATCCTTTTAACATCTCCCCTTTTTTCCCCACATCTATCTATCTTTCTTTCTTTCTTTCTTTCTTTTTTTGAGTATAGGTGACACACAATGTTACATTAGTTTCAGGTGTACAGCTTATTGATTTGACCAATTTATACATTATGCTATATTCACCATAAGTGTAGCCACCATCTGTCTCCCTACATTGATATTACAATAACATTGACAGTACTCCTTATGCTTTGCTTTTTATCCCCATGACTTACTCATTCCATAACTGGAAGCCTGTATCTCCCACTCCCCTTCACCCATTTTGCCTATCCCTCCACACCCCTGCCCCCTCTGGCAACCATCAGTTTGTTCTCTGTTTTTGTAGTTCTGATTCTGTCTTTAGTTTCTTTATTCATTTTTTTAGATTCCATTTATGAGTGGAAGCATATGGTAATTGTCCTTCTCAGTCTGACTTATTTGACTTAGCATAATGCCCTCTAGGTCCATCATGTTGTCACAAATGACACTATTTCCCTCCTCACCTTTTAAACATAGTTGTCTTTAATATTTACTCCACATACTTTAAGTACCACATTACATGATGTTATGTTATGTTGCTTTATTCATCAAAATTCATCAAAAATGATAAAAGAATCCCATGAGAAATAAGATTGTCTGTTACATTTATCCATTTTTGTCCATTTTGATGTTATTGTCTTCTGAAGTTCAAAGCCTTCTGTTATCATTTCCTCTCTATTTAAGGAACTTCTTCTAGTCACCCTTTAACACTGTATTTGCTAACTATAAAATTGTCTAAGTTTTCCTTCTTCTGAGAATGTTTTTATTTCCCCTTCATCTTTGAAGGATATTTTCACCAGATTAGAATCTGCAGTTGAGTTCTTTTCTTCCAGTACTTGAAAAATGTGTCATTTTCTTCTGGCCTCTGGGGTTTTAGAAGAGAAATGGGTTTTCATTTGATTTGTTTTTTTCCTATAAGTAATGTGTCATTTCTCTCTGACTGCTTTGAGGATTTCTTCTTTGTCTTCAGTTTTCAGAGGTTCAATTACAATGTATCTTGGCATGGATTTCTTTGGGTTTATTCTATCTGATGTTTGCTTGGCTTTTTGAATCTCCACATTTCTGTGGGTTATATTGTCCCACAGCTCCCTGAGACTCTGTTTATTTTCAATCTATTTCCTCACTGTTCACATGGGTAAACCCTATTGGTTTGTTCCCAAGCTCACTGATCCTATTCTCTGTCATTCCCATTCTCCTACTAATCACATTAGTCTTTTGTCCAGTTTCATTTATCATATTTTTCAGTTCTATAATTTCCACTTGGTTCTTTTAAAAAATAATTTCTATTTCTTTGCTGAGATTTTCTATTCTTTTACTTGTCTCAATAGAATTTGTAACTGCTCACTGAAACATTTTTATGATGGTTGTTTTACAATCTTTGTCAAATTGTCCCAACATCTGACTCATCTTGGTGCTGGCATCTGTTGGTTGCTTTTCTAATTCATGTCATAATTATCCTGGTTCTGAATATAATGCATAATTTTTTATTGCAGCCTAGACATTTTGGACTTTATATTAACAGACTCTGGTTCCTATTTAATCATCTTTTCCACTCCAAGGCTGAAACTGCATCGATGCAAGGTGTGATGTTTTTTCTCCATAGTGTTTGACTAGAGTAGGACAGGTATTGCCAAGAAAGTTTTCTAACTTGACGTCACACATTTTCTGGTCCCTTGGCTTGGGATGAATGGGCTTTTGTTGAAGGTTTTCTTTTTCTTTCCTGTGTGTGCGTGTGTGTGTGTGT